CATCCAAAAAAAAAAAAAAAAAGAGACAGTACGCTTTGTTTTGCAGGACCATAGCCCTATTAACAGTAACATCCTGTCCCTCCCCATGCCCCCACCTCAAGATTTGATGCCTACGAGCCAGGCTGGACTGCAGGTATTTGTTACCACGGGGAAAAAAAAAAAAAATATTTCCTCCTTCCAGTAGATGCACATGAAAAGCTTAAATATTAGTGGCTACTATTTGGGGGACAAAAAAAAAAAAAGAAAAAAAATTAAAAAGATCTTGAAAAATAATATTCTATCTTGGAAAACTGCTCTCTCTGTGCTTGGCTAGCATCTACTACTGCCTGAAAATCTCTAGCCAGCTTTCCTCTTTTGAGAACCAGATCAATGGCTTATATAAAATGGGTGGAAATTTCTACTACTGGACAAATCAAAATTTGCTACCAAAAATAAAATAAAATGCCCTCCACTCTCCAGTGTTTCCTTAGAAAGCTTTGTTGAGGCATTCATTGGCTGCTTCCAATCCACTTTTATATGACTGAAGGATATTGCCACATCAAGTCCTGGACTGTAAGTATCCTCTTCAAAGGAAAAAACAAAATGCTGAAGGTTGTCATCTATTTCACAGCGTCAGAGCGATCTACCACTGCAGTCAATTTCTGGCTTCTCTGGCCACTTGATAGTTTGTCTCTTCGTCGATTAGTTGTTCCGAATCCAATAGTTGGTTACAATTTAGCAGTTGTAATTTTAAACTACAGTTCTTGATCTAGTGGTTAAAAAAAATAAAATAAAATCTTAAGGTCATAGGGTGTACGTACAGCTTGTATCATGTACCACTGCCATGGTTTAGATAAATGGAATGATGACCTAGTAAAAGAAAAGTCAACTCCTCCATAGGTCTGATCCAGTCCAAAATGGCTGCTATACAATGCAAGACAGCACTGCGTTCCAAGATGCACTGGAATTTCTCTTGTCCTACTCAGAAACACACATCCAAATTCAGCTGGCATAAGACTAAAAAGTTCCAGTTCAGATTTCTGAAGCAGTTACCACAGGGTGAATTCAATCAACAAGAGGTGGGAAGGAGAGAGAAAAATAAATCATGCACAAGGTGAAAATAAAACATGAGTATCTAGTGGTTTGGTTTTTTTTTTGTTTTTTTTTTTAAATTAAGACAGCAATAGTGCTAAAGAAACTGCATTTGAAGAAATTATTTTTGAAAAAAAGAACATGTGATTGGACTGAAGGGGACAGGAAAGTCCGGTTTTCTACTGTCTCCCCAACCTCTTTCTTGGTTGTATTTCTGTGTGCAACATGGTGGACCCAACATTTTTTGAGCTGTATTTGGTGATCAAAGCATGCAGATACAGAGCTGTCGTTAAAAAGCTGATCCTGCCAGTGGGTCTCTTTGTCAGAGCCTTGTTTGCTCGGTGTGCAGAAACTCCACTAGAGGAACCATCAGGGCTGTTCCTGCTTACCCTACGCACTTCTCCCCAGTTTTAGAAGTGGAAGAAATTTGACCACTTCCCGTACCATCACATTCAAAGCAGAAAGATCTTTCTTTCGTATCTGCTTAGCTCTCTAAGCAGTTGGGTAAGCTTCAGGAATAAAGTAGTATAGGTTATTTATGCCAAAGAGAATATATTAGCCCAGGAGTTCATGGAGGATTGGCAAAATAATCAAGATGTTCCAAGGATAAATGATCCACCAAACTGCGTAGACGACTAAGGTGAAGGTCAACTGGTGTCTAACCCCAGTGTGACAGGCACTTATTTCCACATGGTTGGACCTCATTAAAATTCAGTCTACAGGAAAACAAAACAAAAACAAAAACAAAACAGCAACACAGCTGGGTCACCTGTACCCTACAAAGTGCTTATGTCTCAACATAGCTTTCAGATCCCAAAAGGTCAATCAAACCCTGTTTGTCTCCATATGTAGTTCTCATAGATCGCCATTGCCCGTCACCAAGGGTTGCCATCAAGCAGAAGACGCGTCAGTCTTTGCAGGTGTAAACCTCTTCTCTCTGGGTGCATTGCTTGCATTCCACATAGCAGCACCAACGGACTTGGCATTGGCACGGACGGGTGACCACCCGACTCTGCGTATTGTGCCCTCGCCCGCAGCAGATGCTGTCACAGTTCTTGTCTTTGTAACATTTCCTTCCCGAAGTCCCAGGTGAGTATCTACTCATCATACAGAAGCTTGGGGAATCGTCAATGTAGACAAGATCCGTAGTCCTTGGGATTTGATCACTGTGACCAGGGATGGACTTCTTGGGTGGGGAGATGTCTCCTTCCCCCGTGGCCTCATTGGTAGTGCTCCCCACTTTGAGCGATGTCTCGTACTTCTGCTTCAGTTGCTTCCCTATTTCATGGAATGGAGAGAGCTGCCTCCAACATGTTCGGACAGTACAGGATCCAGATACGCCATGGCATTTACAGGTTGTCTCCACTCCAGCTTTGATGACCTGCAGACACACATGGCCCCAAAAGAAAATCAGTTATGGGGGAAGAAATCAAGACATAGAGCAGAAAAAACCAAAAAAAAATTGCTAGAAGACACTCCTGGAACACAAAGTTGATGACAACAGAAAAGCTATCCATTGGAAGAGGACAGAAAACACACGCTACAGGAAATACTTGTTTTGGAGGGCTCCTAGTTACCAGGAATATGACATTTACCTGCCAGAATATTGCTTTATTGGCTAGTTAATCATACCAGTAAAGTGTACAAAGGCTGTCAGGTGCTGTCACTCGTCTAGGTAGACAGAGGTCTGAAGCTGTGGTGCAACTAAGAGATTAAGACATATTTTAACCTATTTATTTTAATAACAACAAGGAGATAAGATGTAACAAAAGTGGAAGGACTTGGTTTAGTGGAGAGAAGGTGGAGAACGCTGCTGTAACGCACACAAACACACAGATGAGGTGACACATGCTCTAGAACATGAGCATGGACAGTAGGAACCTTTCCACACCAACACACAGGATACCACCTTAAACTCACGTAGTTCCCAATTAGCAGCACAGACTCGGTTGGAAACATGGTTAAGCTGTGCTGTTTCCACCAGCAGTGACTAGGTATAGCATCCCATCCAGTTCACTTTGTGACTGAGGAAAAACCTTCATATAGCTGAAATTATATAGAAGCCCTTGAGAACAACAGCCTCGGTTGCCACCACCAAAACTAGCAGCTCCAAAAGCATCCAGGTAGCTTCCGCCTCTCCAACCTGTCTGCGGGATCCTATTCTGGAATGTGGTAGCGTGTTCAAAAGGACCTGCCATTTTTTTTCTGCTAGAAATGAAGAAGCTTGCATGTGCTTTTAAAAACAAAGAATGCCACTGCATGTTGGCCAAACGTGTTTAATGAAGCACGTTTTCACGTAGGGCAAAACCCAAGGTTGCCACAGCCTCCACTATGCCCTCCCTTACCCTTAAAAATTAAGATGTGAAGAAATGGAAAACAGACCCCTGTGTGAAGAGTTCAGTAATTCCAGGTGCTTTAATGCAGCCCCCAGGATTTACTCTGCCTGTGGCACCAGCTGTAGGCAGCTTGGAAGGCTGGCTTCTCACACAGAGGGTTTCAAGGGGAAAAACATGAAATCTGGGCTGATGCTGCAGTGAGAAGAGTCCATCCCAGTGGGTTCAGTGCTCAGCCCATCAGGCAGTGACCCATGGGGACTTTACATTTTCAGTTCTGGCCACGCGAATGGACTTCCTGCACTAAAGGCTACACCATCTGCCCCATCCTGACCAAGCAGGAGCTGCCCCATATCAGGATGAGGAACCTCAACTGCTGTCTTGATGCTTAAGCAGCACCTCCGGGTGAGCAGGTCTTGAGACTTGACAAGGCAAGACTGTGAGCAAGTCCACAAGTGTTTAAAAAGAGCCTGACCCAGGGGTGGAAAAGTCACTTAGCTAAATGCTGTGCAGGGCTTCTGGTGAAGGGACAGAAGGAAATGGCATCACACACGCATTCAGGGGCTGCTGCGCCCAAATGTTGTTTATGCAAGTCACGTCCAGGGAGGAACAGGCTGCGAGTTTCAAGTCCCAGGCTAGCATAACTTGTATAATGTGTTAGCAGACCCTTCTATAAGGTGTTTTCAACTAGGATGGAAATGTATATCTTATTCTCTCCATAAAAAAGCAGAGCACTTATGACCAAGGTCTTCAAAGCTGGAAAAGGGAAGGCATTCAAATCGTTGGAAGCTAAAGTGGATTCTGTACCCTCCGCGCCAGGACTCTCACATTAAACTTTGTGCCTGTTTATGCCTCTTGATTACAGCTATCAAGGGCAAGGCTTGGTTTCAAATCCTTTCTTAATTTATTTTTTTTTTATTTTAAAATTCAAATACTTGCAGCGGGTGTTGCAATGAGTAATAAGGCTCATCTCACAGATCCCTAAAGGAGGAAATAACTTGTTCAAGATAACAGAAAGTAAATGTGTATGTTTGATTTAGTCCCAATCAGTCTGTAAGCAAACAAAAGTCAGTCTCCATAGAGGAAGGCATACAGATCTTGCCTGGGGACAGGTTGTATGGGAATAGCTCTCTTCAGACCACCACGAAGCGTAAAAACAGAAGGTAGAGCAGAGCCAGTGGAACCACGGTGCTCACACGCAAGGTGGAGGGAATGGAAAGAGAAGCTTATTTTCAACAGGAGAAGCAGCACGGGAAGGAGAAGCAGTATCAG